ACAAAACTAATTACAGCATATTTTAGCATATTATGACACTTTTTAATCAGCACCGCGTGATCTTAATGAGGGTCAAAGTGCGGCGGATCACCTAACTCGTCCTCAGTGACGAGTTCAAATCTAGTTTGATATAGTGCTCTTTTGCGGCTCATGGTACTGTATGTAGGTTCAAAAAGCTCATAGAAGCTAAGGCATATGCACAGCTAAAAGCATATTACAGGCTACTAGACTTGCCACAGTTTTCTAATTTACTGATTTTTCCTATTATTGTCCAATGAAAAATACCCCAAAAAATAGTAAGTCATTTTTTGAAATTAACTTGCTCATTTGAAAGTAACATAAATCTTATCAATGTTGAAAATTGAAATTAGTGTGTTGAATAAAACAGTATGTGTTGTATGATAAAATGAAGAAACAAATACAATTTAACAAAGTTTATATCCAGAAATGCTAATTAAATTGTTAAATTAAATTTTTAGAAATCCAAAAGGGAGAACTGGTATGATTGGTCGAGGTCTTCTGGGTCGATTTGGACCAAATCATGCAGCGGATCCTATTGCCACCAGGTAATGTATTTTTTTTTAGTGTATTGATTAATATTATTGTACTGGACGTCAGGTAGTTCAGGAGTGTTCATTTTACAAAATTAGTTGGGGAATTATCAACATTTTAACTCCAAAATACCTTTTGATATGTATGTGTAGGCTGTAGTTGGTACAGTATTTTTGATTGGTGCAGTGCCTATAGTTAGTACAGCCTTTGTTGTTGGTACACTATTTTTAATTGGTGCAGTGCCTGTAGTTGGTACAGCTTTCGTTGTTGGTACAGCGTATATGTGGTTTGTGGTGTGTCTGTGGCTGATGCTTTTTTTTTTGTTTGGTGCAGCACCATACTAACCTTTTCTTTTGAACATAAGAAATATATGGTTGGTGTTAGTGGTTTATGCAGTGCCTGTGGTTGGTACAGCGTCTGTGGCTGGTGCAGCACCTGCGGTCGATGCAGCGTCTGTGTGGTTGGTGTAGCATCTGTGGTCAGTGCAGCATCTCCAGTTGGTGCAGCATCTATGGCGGGTGCAGCACCTGCGGTCGGTGCAGCTCCTGTTGTAGGTGCTGCGCCTGCAGTCGGTGCATCATCTGTTGTTGGTGCATCGCCTGTGGTTGGTACAGCGTCTGTGGCTGGTGCAGCACCTGCGGTCGGTGCAGCGCCTGTGGTTGGTGTAGCGCCTGCTGTCGGTGCAGTGCCTGCGGTCGGTGCAGCGCCTGTTGTTGGTGCAGCTCTTGTGGTTGGTGCAGCATCTGTGGTCAGTGCAGCATCTGCAGTTGGTTCGGCATCTGTGGTTGGTGCTGTTTCAATGGTCGGTGCAGTGTTAGTGGTTGATGTAATGTTTAAGCCTGCTTTGAGACCACGAAATAACAACGACGAACACTAGATAACGTATAAAGCTGACTTTAATAAACAAGGTTGTATTTCGCCGTGTACACGATGGACCGTAGCCATATTGGTAGCCCCTAGCAACTAGAGAGGGCGCTGGACCGATAATCTTTATAATAGATATTACAGTTGATACAGCATCGGTGGTTGGTACAGCGTCTGTGGTCATCATCATATGATTTTGTAATTGTGCATACTGATTTTTTGGTTTTTTTCTGGTTTTTTTTTAGATGGAAGATGAATGCAGATGGTTCACCAATGATGGATGGAGGCAAGAAAGTACTAGAGTTTATTGCTATTCAACGCAAGGACAATCAACAGTGGGCAATACCTGGAGTATGTCTTATTTGATTATTTTTGCAAATATTTTTTAGATTATTTTTAGAAGACAAACATTTCGATTTTGCAAGGTGGCGGGTAGTTATTTGCATGTTTATATCATTTTTATTTCACTATTTCAAATTTTAAAGGCGAATATAAAATACAACAATGAAAAATTACTCAACAGTACATTGTAGGCTGGATTGCTCTATCTTGGAGCTCTCTCAGTAACAACCGGAGAAACATAATATATATTCAACAGAAATATTTAAATTATTACAGTATTTGCAAAGCACTTACAAATCTATATATAAAAATATAATTATTACAATCAAATGATAATAACAATTTGTGAGATATGCAAAAAAGTGTAAAACATTACAATAATTTACTTGGTTTTGTTTTTAATAATGGTATGTTGTTTTTTTCCTTTTTTAGTGTAAGTTGGTTTTGAAATTTCTTTATGCTTTCCTTTGTTATTATTGTATATTGTTCTTGGGTGCACCATTACAGTGATGGGTGCTGCTGATCTGAAAGTGAACCCAATAATTCATATATCGTATCAATGGCAATATCTGTCATCTGGGAGCGCTCCAGTAACAACCTGAGAAACATATATTTAACAGAAATATTAAAATTATTATTTGTAAAGTACTTAATAAAACTATATATAAAAATAATATTATTACAATCAAAATCATTATTACTATGATAATTATTCTGATACCAAACACTGGTGTATTCATTCTTATTGTACTCCTAAAATTATCATTTATATTATCGTATACATTAGGGTATGGTTGAACCAGGTCAGGTCGTTAGTGAAACCCTCAGACGTGAATTTTCTGAAGAAGCTCTCGGCCAGATGACAAAATGTGCCGAGGAGAAAGCAACAATGGCTGAGAATATTGAAAAATTATTTGCAAATGGCATCGAAGTAAGTAATTGTGTATATATTATGTCAACTCATTTTCATTGGTCATTACCACCATGGGTGGATTTAGAGGGGCAAACAGACTTTAACTTTTCCCCACCCACCCCTGCTGAAGTTTTCATCGACATGTAGGTTTTTATGACATAATAACTTAAGGCTATAGCCTAAATTTGAACATTTAGTTAAGACCTCTAATAATATGAAGGATTTCTCACCCACCTCCCCCCCCCCCCCATCCAAGTCCTGGATCCAACCTTCACATTGGTGACAATTTATATGTATTTTTTTAATAGATATACCGAGGGTATGTTGATGACCCTCGAAACACAGATAATGCTTGGATGGAGACGTATGCTATGAATTTTCACGACGAATCTGGCAGTGCTTTTGGACAATTTCAACTTGAGGTACAATGTTCAATTCGATCTACACATTATGCAACAATCTTTTTTTTTTTACTGCTTATTTAATTACATTTTTGTCATATTAACAGTGGTATTGGTGAATTTTACCCAGCAAACGTTTGCTAAGATTTTGGTTTCGTATGTCACGTTCACACAACGTTGCAGAAACCTTTAAACATTACAACGTTGTGGAATTAGGTTATAAATATTATGTACTTATGGTTCTACAAAGTAATGTTTGTATCGCCAAACTGTAACATTGTTATAACATAATATTGTTAGCGGAATATCATCATTTTAATGGGTTTGTTTATATATATGTTAAAGCTTGCGGTACACCACATAGGTAGTTCTGAAAAGAACGTTTTGATTGAGTTGCTTCAATTGTCTTCAGGAGAATAATGTCTTTTTTGTTTATGCAAGGGAGTTGGTGTTTATTTCATCAGATAAGGGTTTGCTCAAAATGGGGGCTCATCTGATCATAAAAACCCTCTTACAGATTCTGAAGCAATTGTGGCTGATTATTGCTCTTTTGCTTAATGGTTGTATTATTATTTTATGTTAATTTCCTTCAGGCTGGTGATGATGCCCAGAGCGTGAGATGGCAAAGAGTGAGTTCAAGAATTCCCCTGTTTGCCAGTCATACGGCAATGTTGCGCAAAGTAGCAGAAAAACATAATGCAGCCTTCTAAGGATCGACAGTACAAAATGTCATCAAGATGTTATCAAGATATCCTTGGTTATTATTTATGGGGAGGATAAAGGACATTATTTGCAAGGGATGGGGTGTAAATATAGTTTCCTATTTGAGAATGTACAAGTCAAACTTATTTTTTATAGTATGTTTTCTAGTTCGTAAAACCGATATTTGTATCATTGTTTGTGGTATTTTTTATATTTGCATTCTCCAAACCAAGGACAAAATGTTATGAAACAGGTATTTTCATATCAAACATGATTAATTACTTGTAATGCTATTGAAAGAGTTAAAGAATATTTATGACATATATTTACATTGTTTTTATAATTAAGGAGATAACTTATGTTAGCGCAGCCGTCCTATGGCATAAAAATGTTACTGCTTTTATATTTTTGTTAAGTTACATTGTTTTTCCCTGGAACAGTTGAGCAACAAAGAGCAATTGTTTGACAGACTGATCAAACAGTATCAGATATTATGTTAGTATAATGTAACAAATTGTATATGTTGGTTCATATTTGGCTTAGACAGTGGTAGATTCAGGGGGTGTAGTGGCAGCCGGCCCAATGCGCCCCCCCCCCATTTTTTCAAGATAAAATTGAGTAAATGTGGCAAAGACAAGCCAAACCAGTCACTCGTCGCAAAAATCGATTTTGAGTTATTAATACAGTGTTAGAGAGTATAATAATAGCTATAAAATGGTAAAAAATCATTCAAATTGGGAATTTCCTTATGAAGTTACAAGCGTTTAACCACACAGCTGTTTAAAGAACAATATATGAGAAATTAACCTTCAAAGTTTATGATTTCAGGCATTTCTCATGCAGAAACTATCTGTTCATCCTTAAAAAGTATTGTTTTAACATTGAAAATGGGGAAAATAACAGCAAAGAATGATGTGTAGATATATAAAGGTTTAAAATAGTTTAGTGCAATAAAATAGATTTTTTAAAATTTGACTTTCCAGCATGTTTCGGCCATTTTCTCGGAAACACGATTTGCGACCAGTGACTGGTTTGGCTTGTCTTTGCCACAAATATTGAATAAAATAATGAAAATCACATATAGCTATTGGTGCCATATTCTTAAATTGTCTTATCAAGTGTACTATAATATTGAGTTGAAAGCTACTAGTGAGAAGCAACCCTTATTTTTTGGCTTAACATTAATGAAATTTGATGTAAGACTAATTATTACATGGTAATAGAATTAATATAATAGTAGTATAGGCCCAATATTAATAAGGCTAATATTTAAGTATATAGGTTACATTACATTTAATCTATAGAAGTTAGTTTATGATAGAATACTAATTGATAAGCCAATATATATATATAACAATATAATTAACTTACATTTATCATTCTGTAAATTTTAGTATAACAGCAATGTATTACGTAACTGACTAACAGTTTTTAAACTCTTCAAAAATGAAGAGTGATAAAATGTCTGGAATTCCATTTAAAATAGTCATAATTCCTTATTACGAGCGACTTTTTTCATACCTTGCTTAGCGAACCTGCCACCCACCAATAATGATGATTTTGAATAAAATTAAATTTTTATTTTTGGCCAATTAGCGCACCAGGCGCCTCGAAAAATGGAGATTTCAGAAAAAAATGTTTTTCTTTATTATTATTATGCCCGCTGCTGCTTTGTAATCTCCAAAAATAAGATATGTATATTTCTTCCTGATTACCGTAAATGCTCGAATAGGCGCCGCTCTCGAATAAAACATGATTGTTTCCATTAAGCTTCGATCTCCATTAAGTGCCGCGGTGCTCAACTCAGAGTATATATTGATCTGTGTATTATGAAATACTTTGAAAAAAAAAGGGTTTTAAATACAATGTATAAGGAGTTAATATGAATACATAACACAATAAAGACACAAGCATATTATAAACGTTCATTTACGATTATGTAGGACCAATGGTAGACCTACCATGAAATAGGTAATTTCGGAACGGGCATAGAAAGCGCCACGCCAATATTTTTTATTAGTGCCGCTCTCGAATTTGCGCTGCACTGCTGAAGCCATCCCATTACTACATTGTTTACATTCACTAACAAATTTTCTTTTTTATTTTCACCTCCGTTTGGATGTTTTGGCAAATGCAATTTTTTTTTTTTCTGCCCTCCTTTGACAATCTTCAAAAAAATAAGTTCGCAAAACATGGTTATAAGAAAAGTCTCACCTAATTGGATTAGTAATGTTAACTTTATTTGGTACCAATTAACCCAAAAATGCATGTAAAAGAACTACTGCTTTATAGATAACAATACATATTAGTGAAATTAATTAATGTCGGAATATAAAAATTTTATCTCCTTTTTTATAAAAGTACAATATAACAATGTTAAATTACTGTATATAACAATTGATTGTGCTGAGTGTATTTGTACTGATTAGTAATAATAATTATAATAAAAATAATAAGAATAATAATAACATTAATAATAATTATGTGACGCAAGTACATTATTGATTATAATAAAGGTGAACAATCTTTAATGCATGTAAATTATAGTAAGATTTTATTATTGATTTTGCTAGGCTATCATAATGATATGAATATTATTGTGATATTAAACATGTGACCTAATTTTCTTAGCATAACAAATGTAGAATTAATTGTAGATATAAAATCATAATCATGTCTTATATACTAAAAACTAATCCCATTTTTCCCAGTAGTATAAAAAAGTTTTTTTAGCATTTTCTGTTTTGTCTTGCCGATCTAAAGCACTTGACACAGACAGATTTGTGTGGAGGAAAATCATGCTTGATGTCACGAGGGGTCAACTACGACCTGATGGTCGCAGATGATTATGATGATAATATTTTGATATTTGCAAGATGGGGTTACTTTTAAAGTTATTATAATTGCTCTTTCACTGGCTCTCATTGGAAGAAATCAAGGTCAAAAGGGAAAATCTCCTACACCATTTTGTTAATGTCCACATAACCTTGGCATCACCCCTACTCTTGATGTGCACTGGTTCGATCAGACTAATTTGGGAAAATCTGAAATGAAATGATGTGATATGAAACAAAAGTAATTCAAAATACATTGAAAATGATTGGTCTTTTAGGAACTAGACCTAGTTAGTTGATTAATTACTATCAGTGCCCCTTCTTACAGGTTCACCCTTGATGACTATTAATACTATAGAAAATAATACATATTACAAAAATAATAACAGTTTAGATATAAACAAGTTATTTAAATATTGCATCTTTCAGTATTTATTATTGTATCATTTATGTTTTATAGTAATATTTGATATGTATAAAAAGGATATATTTTAGATATTTCATGTATTGTACAGACAAAAATACTTTACAGAAGAGTACAGCTAAAGCATTATGTATTTGTGTTGAATATTTGTTGTTATTTATAGAACTAGATGCTGTTTTATTAAATATGAGAGCATTTGAAAGTTTTTAATTTTTGTCTTCTTGTATCATTTAAGGAGTTATATTTATTTAATTTCCATTCCACCTTATTTAGTTTTAGTAAACATCAGTGGGAAGAAGTAAATATGTAAGCAACAATTATACAAATTAAGTAAAAAGTAACTAATTCCAATTACAAAAATAACTATTTGATATTAACATTTTTAATTTGCCAAAACTTTATTGACAAATCTCTATTTTTTTAAAGAAAGACATAAATTTGATTAAATGAATAAGGAGCAGGAAAGCTTATTGTCACTAGATGGGCACTGAATCAAGAGAGATCATTAGGTTTGATTTGATTCGATTTTTTCTTCTGGTTATGTGGCAGACTTTTTTATACCCTGTTTAGCGAACCCACCGACTGCAAATACTGATGATTTCAAATGAAAATAAAATTTTATTTTTGGCCAATTGGTGGAAGTGGAAATTTCAGAAAAATATCAGTTTTTAAAAATTTTTATTTCGCCCTCTGCTGACTTGAAATCTCCACAGATAAGAAATATTTCTACCTAATTATATAAATTATATTATATTTTACATTCACCAATAACATTTTATTTTTATTTTCTCCTGTGTCTGGATGTTTTTGACAAAACATTTTGCTAAATAAGAAAACAAAATTTTATTTTTATTTTTATTCTGCCCTCTTCCGATGATGTTTAAAAACATAAATATGCGAAACAAAAGAATAAAAAAAGTCTTACCTTATTATTGGACTTGTGTGCGAGGGCTTGTGTTCTTCAGAACTCGCTGTACACAATAATAGCGAGCTTTCAAGGTGGGCGACGCGGGGAATTCAGTCAATCATGAACGTCGTACTATGCACTTCCCGTCTCAACATCATAGCTGTTTTGATTTACAGGACAATGGGCTCACTCGTATCTCATGATCAATTATGCAGGCGCCCCAGCGAGCGCGAATTTATAAAACTCAAGTTGCCGTAGGCTATGTTCTCACACGGCAGCTGACGGTTAGCAGGATCTGGATCGTGCTAACCGTTAGCTGCCGTGCGTCCATGTGAGAAAATCCCGATCCGGATACGAACAATATGATGATCGATCACTGGCCAATAAGAAACTGGAAACTGTAAACATGTACGTGTGATTGGTTGATGATAGAAATGCCCTTAACTTGCTAACCGATAGCACTTGCTAACCGTTAGCGTATCTGTATACCGCTAATGGTTAGCACTAACCGATTGGGCGTTCTCTCGCAGGTGGTAACGGTTAGCGCTTGGTTAGCTCCAGATCCGGATGGCTCTCGTGAAAACCAGGCTTCAGTCTTAACACAACGCCAAATCGCTTAAAGTCCGTTGTCAAACCCACACAACGAACGACTTCCCCATGTATTCGCATGCGCAGTACGGTTTTACGCTCCACTGCCCATCTGAGTAGCAGTGTCCAGTGCAGTAGATTATTTAAAACGAACAAACCTTGCAGATTAACATTTAAACAAAATCAATAATTAAGTTAATAAAAGATTAGCATCAATTAGTTTTGACCGTGATTATTATTCATATACTACTGTATCTAAGATTCCGACCTAATTTTAATATCTAAAAAATTACTTTTTTTAAAATTATTTTTTGTTACCATTTTAAAACATTCATATTAATGTTAAGTTGTTTGCAATTTGAAGGGCCTCACTGGAAAAAATAGGGGCAGAAAAAACAAAAAAAAACTTTAGAGAACTTTTTTTTTAACAATTTTTCTTTACAAATTAAAAAAAAAATATGAGTGA